TAGAGAACTCATGACCCTCCAGGAAATCCCTTATATGGACAAAGGCATGGCTATTATATCTGTAACTGAGTAAACAGAACATATAAACGTTTTGAATGATAAAACAAAGACGATAAACACTCGACTGCGACAATATAGTTTATGTGTTATTTAAGCCATCTCTGGTATTTTCATAATAATTAAGCATATTTATAATATCGTGACCATATTTTAGTTTTCCAAAAAAAGGACAGTAGGGTTCGTGGGCGGGGCTTGACCTAACAGTATACCTAGCAAGTTTTTTTTTTGTTGTTTGCTTATTTTGTTTTTATAATAAATAAAAATGTGTTGGATTTGTATTATTAGAGCTTTCCGACTTGGGTTCACGTGCATTTTCTCAGTCGGGAAATAATTTTTCACGTGCGGTGCCAGTGACGATGCTTCTTACGTCCGTTTCGGAGAACCAGAGGACAAATATTTCAATCGATCGCTCAGGCATGGCACCGAAATCTGCGTTCGGATTCGGTTCTAGTGCATACCGGTTACATACAGTAGGTACCGGTGCCATATTGGTACCGGGTTTCGGTACCCAACCCTACACACATCAGATGTTTTTCCCCAACAGTTCACTCACTTAACACATAACAGATCATGTTTGCGTGAATCCTCGCTCAGACAGATATTTTGAAATGCTGTAATCTGTGTATATCAGGATCACGAGCTGCCGCTGTCTGAGAGATGCGCCTTTACAAAATTACTCTAAGTTGAATCCAAAAAATAAGACTAATCACCCCTTGGCTAACTGTTAGTTGGTCAGACTAGCTCTTAAGACACTGTCCTAACATAGAGGCTAAGTTTATGCAACTGGCCCCATGTGCGCAGCTAAATGGTCAAATACACACAAAACTTAAAAGTGTGCCAAAATGCGGCGTTTGGTGATTATTCACAGACTCTCGTCGGTTATGTAATAAGTGAGCGTAAACAGTTGAGAATGATAATACGTGTGTAACAGTAAATTGGATCCGTGCGGCTCTTAAAGTGACAGCAGCCTAATATTCCTGCTGCTGACTGTGTGCTTAAAGGGTTAGTTCACCCAAAAATGAAAATTAGGCTGTTTTTTACTCACCCC